ATAGAGATAGATAGATAGATAGATAGATAGATAGATAGATAGATAGATAGATAGATAGATAGATAGATAGATAGATAGATAGATAGATAGATAGATAGATAGATAGATAGATAGATAGATAGATAGATAGATAGATAGATAGATAGATAGATAGATAGATAGATAGATAGATAGATAGATAGATAGATAGATAGATAGATAGATAGATAGATAGATAGATAGATAGATAGATAGATAGATAGATAGATAGATAGATAGATAGATAGATAGATAGATAGATAGATAGATAGATAGATAGATAGATAGATAGATAGATAGATAGATAGATAGATAGATAGATAGATAGATAGATAGATAGATAGATAGATAGATAGATAGATAGATAGATAGATAGATAGATAGATAGATAGATAGATAGATAGATAGATAGATAGATAGATAGATAGATAGATAGATAGATAGATAGATAGATAGATAGATAGATAGATAGATAGATAGATAGATAGATAGATAGATAGATAGATAGATAGATAGATAGATAGATAGATAGATAGATAGATAGATAGATAGATAGATAGATAGATAGATAGATAGATAGATAGATAGATAGATAGATAGATAGATAGATCTGTCTATCTATCCTATCTATCTATATATATCCGCACAGATGAATTTTCTACTGAAAAGCTCAAGTTCAACTGTGTAACGGCAGTAATAATTACACAATTAATAGCGCTCGAATCTCAATAGCCTCATTTATTTACAAACACAATCTTTGGATGAAGAGCATCTATATATATATACATATTTTCTTTTTGAGATCCATAGTTTGGTCATATATACACATGTTTACATTGGATTGATGTACTTGCGGGCAAAAAACTCTGCAGCGTTATGGCTAGTATTAAATAATTCGCCGTATGAATATAAACGATGTCTTGTTTTACATAGGTTTACATGTTTTTCTAGCACAATTACCTGTATAGTTTTTGAAAAACGTTTTTTTTTTTAATTGTATCGACATAAAAAAGAGGCTGTATTATTGTGGGCTGGATTTTTCCTGAACTTCATTCAACGAGTTCACACCTCATTTTTAGCCACTACGGAAGGCCAATATAGATTTATTATTTCCATTTAGGTGTACTAAATTATAATACATTTAGTCATCATTTGGATACGAGTTTAAGATTCGATTAGTCATTCCTTAAACATTTAAGGATGCATATTGAGAGTAACTTCAACTGCGTGACTCGTCTGTGGACGCACCATAATTCTTGACTTTTTTTTTTTTAAATACTTTAGCATAAGAATATTCGTATAACCCATTTTAACTGGGAGAAGTAACACGTGAGGTCGCCTAACCCGGTTGAATGCTTCGGAACCGTTGTCAATGCGCTGATATCCAGATAGCCTACTCAAAATTGACACTGACAGAAAGTTATTCTTACTACGAGGTTTGATCGACCTTATCATTGTTAGAGATAAGTTCGCATTTACGAATACGACTAACAACGTCTAATAACTTTAAGCTAACGAAATAGCTTGGACTGAGTGAATTGGAATAGAACTAGGAATCGATTTTTAGAACTTGACGAGCACAATTATTTTAGCAGATAGTAATGTAGATAATCAAAACGATGTGCCATAGACCGAGCACAAACATGAATAGGTCGCATAATATCGGTATTATAGAGAATTTATACTATTGTACTATGTATCATTTTTACTCTGTATAGTTCTTCACTAACTGTATAATCCTCCATGCTTTTTTTTTGTAATTTCCTGCCCAATTATACAATCGATTATCGCTCAAGCGATAAATGATACCTTTGGCATTTTGAACGGAGTTCATGTCCCGGCCCAAGCACTCGGATATTTGGATGGACACAACTAAAGCAATACATGCGTAACTTCCTTCGAAACGTACTCTTTTATGACGCTTTTCAAAGTGTGCCAATTTTAAACAATATGTGTGATAGAACACGGATATGATGTAACGTAACAATTACATCATTTACGTTTTTTTGTACTGGTTTGTCTAACTCCACTACCTTAGACTAATCCAGCGTATTGCCAGGGTCAAAGTTCAAAGTTTATGAAGTTCAAGATCATAATCGTCGCAAACTCGCACATTTACACACAAGTGGCCTGTAACGGCCAATAATCCGCCTGAGCTATATATGTCGTTGGGATTCCATGTTTACTTACGCAGTGGCTCTATATTTCAAGTTTGTCTATTATTGCCGTGAAAAAATTCGTTATCCCTATTAGAATTCCGAAGTTACTCAACAGCTTTCTCGCACTGCACGTTCGGCAAAGCATATTGAACCAAAGTATATACAAAAATTACTGAAATGACATTCCTTATAGGGTAAATCTTTCGAAGTGACTGTCCCGGTGTAGCAATATTAGAAGGCCACACAATATTGGGTGGTAGTGTAAATGTCAGATCTACAGGTAGATCCTTTTTGCCTGCAACACATGAAAAAGACTTCGATTACTAAGGGTGCGAGAATTTTGTGGAAGCCTTCTACACTATGTTGAAGGCAAACTTGTAAATCTCAAAAGTGTTAACAACCTTTATATATATAAAGTTGTTAACGTTTTTGAGCTTTATGAAACGTTAGTCAAATAGAATAGTAGCTTAATGACTATGTTAATTGAGCCTATGCTTAATGAAGTACTGCAAATTGTTGTATAAACATGGGCGGTCGTTTTGGAAACAGTATTCATTCCTTCAATCCATTTGTGCGTATGCAATTCTGAAAACCTCAATTTTGCCAAGCAGACTCGCGTGTCCCCATAACATCACCCGCACGCACATTGACGCGCCAGCATCAGGCTCCTTAATAACTTAATCAGTCATTTCTCATTTAGCTGCCGTACTCAACGTACTCCTGACGTTCGTAGCAGGTACGCACATCACGGAATTCGCTGAATTGTTTTTGCTCCTACCGTGTCGTCGTTAACATTTAACCACCATGTTTCCTACTCATTTCTATAGCCTTATATATATATATCGCGCCATGATTGAATGACTGAACTATCAATCTGCTTTTAGAATCTTCACTTTAAGATTCACGCGTTACGCTAGCTATTCAAGATCACGTATGCCACAGGCTTCAAACTGGCAATCTAACTACTAACCTTTTGGTGTATGGTTATGTAATGATTTGTATGTAATAGAATAACGCTATCATATAAAAACCACTTACTACCATCTGGTATTCAGCCTTTCTTTTACACTGTACTCACACATACCCAATCTAATAATATAACAGTAAATTGCAACGACATTAACCTACATTCTAGGGATAGATATATAGTGGTAAGATGACTTTTATCGACCTGCAAGCTCTGTTTGCTCAATTAAATGCAAATAAGCTATACCGTTCGTTTTCGCATTAATGTGGCGGCTGGTACTCTCCTTGAAAAAATCTAGCCATTAATGAATCAAGTCAGCATATCGTTGATTTTGATTAATAATCAATTTTTATTCGGTGGATCAGACGATTATTTCTTTTGCTTTTTTTTTTTCAATTTCTTTGCCTCGCTGCGCTTTCGCACCGAAGGAGTAAGTGATGCTTAGACACAGGATAAAAAGCGCTTATCCCATCCAAGTATGACCTTTCTTTCAGTGATGAATGAGCGAGCTGCCTAGAACAAAAAAAGGTTCTGCATCCTTCACTGATCGTTAGCACTACATAACATACGAGCATTCTACCCGCAAACTGGTGACAGGCTTTTTTTGGCACTAGAGTTTTTTTTGACGCTACCCGTTGGGTTACTGCGGCGTTATCAAAGCATCGAAGGAAGAAAAGATCCTTCAGGCATAGGTTTGGGGTATAAGATAAACATTAGCTTCGCTAAAAACTTGTGTACTAAGTTTGCCCATCAACGTCGGAAATCTTCATAAATCGCTTTACTTTCTGCTCGAGAACTAAATAAATTGCTTACCTTATGCAGGGTTATGCTATTCTCACTATTGTTCATGTCCAGAAAACTGTTGTCCAGGTTTCCTTTGGATCGACCCGACGGATGATTGCAAAGTTTTTCATTCCTTTTTAAAGCAAGAGTGCAGGGCCGAAGGCCGCTCCTGTTCATTCCAGGCGTCAAAGCATATGCTGGCTCGCAATGGCCTTCAGCGTAAGTACCGCCCATTGTAAGATCTGGACTTATTAGGCCAGCCATACGATCGACCTTCACGTACCTGACGGTTCGATTACAGATGTGGACATACCAATAAACACAGGCTTGAAAACTTAGTCAGCTGAGTTTGTTTTTATGTATGTATAGTAGACATTCTTGGAGCTGGGCCTGGCCATATGTTGTGTATTCGCTTGATGCAGTGTACTTGTTGTTAGTTAAAGCGGATTTAAGGACCAATAACATATTCGAGATTTTCAAGAGTTTACTGAAAATTTAGCCTAGAAATATTACGTACTACGATATTTCTTATGGATTACGAATTTCGTCAAACGGTTGAGGCAAAATATGCGTTGTTGGCTATGTCTTGAATGGAAGCGTCAGCGGCGAAAACGTTCGTACATTGTTTGAGCTTATTAGCCTTCAATGCATTGCTGCACTAGCGACATACTACGACATCGAATAATGTGACAGGGAAGGTATTACATCATTACAGTTATCCTAGAAAATTAATAATTTATTACCTTTTTTTCCAGGCGCTCGTGTTATCCTTTTGGTAAAGGGATCTTCCAACTAGAAAACCGATAACAAAACCAGCTAATAGTGACAGTACGATTGACAGGACACAGGCAATAACCATCGTTATTTCTCTATACGCCTTGTTTAGGTAAGCCTCCTTAATGAGCGGTACATTAAGTTTTGCTGAAAAATACGGGCCAGCGAGAAAGCATGATGTGAACATTTATATTTACTCACATTCTCTCCCATCAGTTATACTTAGCTTGCCCATCACATACATACATACATACATACATACAAGGAACGCTTACGGTAAAATGGACATCGTATCTTCTCTATAGGGAATAATAATTGACACCGTTTTAAATTGTCCTGCATTCTCTCTTACTTGTCAAATATTAGCTCTCGCTTTGTTTTTTCTTTCGCAAAATTACAGTTATTAACCTTTAAGTTCTTAAGAACAGACATTGAATTGTACTAGAACAATGATACAATCAGTACCAACTAAACTGTTATATTTAACAACTATAATTTCAGCCCTTAATTCTACGGATTTTACAAAATCATCAGCTATCAACCTAAACAAATAAAAATTTTGAGATCGTGATAATGTAAGTGTAAATATAAAATTGTATGTACGTGTAAAATAAGTGTAAAATGTGTAGGAATACTATTTATATTGTTCCAAATCCTTGGGTCGAAATAAAAAAAGGTTATATTGTCAGCGTGCTCTATGAAAGCAGCAACACGGCCTTGCTATTAAAAGCAGGTCTATAAACGTTTATCTAATAGTTTTTTACAAATAAATTTCAGATGATATTGACTGTAATAATTCCGCCTGAATGATCTTCAATAAACGAACAAGTAGGCTGACATTATTATGCATACGTGTTGCATTGCCTACGGCAGGACACGCAGTGTGATAAAAGTAAGCTGTAAATGCGAAAAAGAAAAAATAGGCCTAGGTATGCAAAAAATACCGGTGTTCAATTAAAACAATGGCACTCTAACTGCAGGAGTGTCTTTAACCCACTTTGTGTATACGTACATTAAACTGAAAAAGCCAAGCTGGGACAAAGAGGTAATTTCGATGCTTGTACGTGTGTATTTGGGCGCAACCAAATCGGTCTTATATATATATTAACCCCAGTTTTTGACGAGAAAAAAGTATATCATTAGGCCAACTGGGCATGTGCACTAGAGTATAACGACTTTATGTAAGTTTTTTTCGTTGACAATAAATAATGTGTGACAACAAAGATGTCAGTAACGATTTAAGCATTTTATGATTATGTAATTGTTGAAGGGTTATTTTATGTGCAATTAACAGGTGAGTTCATCAATAGACGCACCATCGTTAGGCAGCTTGGAACGTATAAGCGGTTTCACACTAGTTTTGTTGAGGAAATCAATAGGAGGACGCAGCAGTGCACTGGCGGTATCCGTGGGCGACGCGCGGTCCACGGTAGACGTATAGTCATTCAGGGTTTCTACAGGGCGGTGCACGCTAAACGTACGATCACTCAGGGTTTCCACTGGGCGGTGCACGCTAGACGTGCGGTCACTCAGGGTTTCCACTGGGTGATGCACGCTATACGTGCGGTCACTCAGAGTTTCCTCTGGGTGGTGCATGCTAGACGTGCGGTCATTCAGAGTTTCCACTGGGCGGCGCACGCTAGACGTGTGGTCACTCAGGGTGTCCACTGGGCGGTGCACGCTAGACGTGCGGTCGCTCAGGGTTTCCACTGGGCGCAGACGAGTTAATTTGGGGCGCCAATGCCACCAGCGGACGAACATAGATAGGCGCACAGGAATAGCAAATCAGCACAGAGGATTTGAAAACAGGCATTGAAAACAAGCAGTCAGAAACACAGCCAAATCAGAAGAGTAAGAAGATTGAAAGAAAAAAAAAGTTAGCGCCTTTTTTTGATATCGTGCAATTCAGCGAACGAACGAGAAGTCCTAGGACGTACATGTTCATTTAACATTAATGACTTTACGATGAAGAAAGTGTTTTAGTTCGAAGCAGGCTAAAAATAAATCAATATAATTTCGTCGCAACATTTGTTTTAATATTTGTCGGTGCTACTACTCACGATTTAGGATGTTTAACGTATTGCTGCAACGGTTGTCCTTTCCATGTTCGATGCTTTGTATGCTACCAGTATCCGCCTGCCAGTTATGGGTACATTCGCCTTTTTTTGGACTCCAGGCGCAGTACGGATCCTGGAGCTGTACACACTGACTACACGTCTTCGCTAGATCACAGTGATATAGTGGAATTCCCTGAACTCTGTTATCGCTAACGATAATCAGCTGCTGCTCGTTTTGTGACCGTCGGACGACGAGATTAGTCACGGCGACGGGCTCACTACGGAATGTACTCGCGGTTGACGAATTTAAAAAGGCAGCCGATTTTCCAAACACATCAACATCCTCGACAATGACCGATTCTATAGGCTTCCCATCATCAGCTTGCCGTATTGACAGCCAGGCTAAATTGACTACTTTGAGGACATGGCCATGATCGGTGCCGATAAAAAGGACATCATACGTGTTTCCGTTGACAGCCTCCACTTGCGGATCGACAGCTATGTATGTATAGCGGTACGTGAAGCCAGTGCGTACCACAACAGGCCTGCCCCAGTAGGACGGTACAGCCTCATCCATCAGCGGGTGACTAGCGATGAAGTTCAACGTTTCATCTGGTATTTGACTCTCGTTCACGCATGTACCAGGCCGAGGTTCTGGCACTTTCGAATCGACCACACGCAGCCAATTTGAATTTTTGCCATCTTGACCTTTAAATGGCCCGTTAAAGGTAGCTTCGATGTCTTCAAGACGGAAAGCGCACACAGCTGAACCTAAGATTGAGTTTAGTCCTGTCGTAAAAACCGAATAGATTAGCCGAGCAGGTTTACCCACATATGACCCGTGAACGACGGCACTAGTTGACTGCAATTCGTTGAAGTAGAACGGAATATCGCCTGGCATCGAACAATTGAGACGAGCCTTTAGAAACGAAGTAAATTTGTTCTTAAAAACGTGAGGTCCACCCTGATCATTGGTGCAAACGCGCGCCACCCGTGAGTACACGGCTTTGCCACAGTTGATGAATTCGACTGCGTTTTCGCGGAAAAAAAAGTACACGAATTGACCCAAGTGCATTGAAGACACAAACTGTGGGGCTGCAAAAAGAGACGGGAAACAAGTCAAAACACCATATTAGCCTTATTATTATTGATCGTCTTTAGTTTTAGCTCAGTTTTACTTATTCTGTCATATATATATATATATATATATATATATATATATATATTGTCTACTGTCACCCTACCGTTCAGATGTCTGGGGTCGAACTTCACTGTCCGAAGAGGTGTTCGGTAAATTAACGGATCTGCGCCCGAGAACTGACCTACAGTGCCCGTGTATAAATCGCCGTCTGCAAAGTTTTATTTTGTGGTACGGTACAATGTTAAAATGGCCAAAAGGTGTTATGATTCATGAACATGAAAAATCTCTGGAAAAATTTAACAGTAAAATACATAAAATCAGTCTTGAGAGATAAGGAGCCACTTGACTGAAACACAAGCGTGAGCCTCAGATGTTTTTTTCCAAGTATATTCATTGACAGTCACACCCATAGTATTAGTCCTTAGAATTTTGTAAAACTTTATGCGTCATTACATGGACGCTGCTATTTAACATTAAGCTAGTTCGCAACCAGGCGAACGAGACGTTTACAGTATTGTGCTTGTTGATAGCTCGGAACATTTACGGCACTCTAATCATATTAACAAGTTAGATTAACTGGCCTTTCGAAAGCTCGCGCATTTGCGATCACGCCTTATCATGCTAAAAAGCATAGAACTTGTCTGGTATTAAATTTACGGCTAAAACAGGCCCACTATAGGTAGAAGAAGGGGCAAATTAATTCCTTGCTATCAATAGGACCCCCATGATCCTGCTGTGATGATGTGTTCATCTAATAAGCTTATGAACAGAGTAAGGTGATACTTTTTTATACTGAGAATAACCGGCTATCAAAAACAGCGCTTAATTAAAGCAGTAGGACTGAACAGAAAACTAGATGACGCATTCATTAGTAGATCTGCACCGTTAAACCCAGACAGACAACGCAACTCGACCCAATTTCATTTGTATCGTAGTACTGAGAAACTAACACGGACACTGCTTTTATTATGCGTTAAAGAATACGAAAAAAGTACATTCTAAAATGGTAATTCTTGATTGAAAAGTGGACGCGAGCGACGGCTCTGTGTGACGTACCGGCAAATGTATACGTAGAGTTATGATTAGCATCGTAGGGACATAATCCCTCGCCGGGCATCTCTTCAGCCACCTTGAACTCAACGTCGAATAAGTGCCGTTTGTTGAGCGGTGTTTCCGCCTTCGGGCTTAACGTTAACGTCTGTTTGGACATGATCACGTACTCACGGCATTTCGGTTTGTAAGCGTTCGTACCACAAATTAACAGGCGATCATCGCTCTTTCTGACAATAATCCGAATATAATTGTGGCATTCATCTTCCTGTTTACAGTACAGACGACACCTCTTCGTGTCATTCTCAGACGGTCTCCATTCAATGCGTTGTTGCACCGATAGTGATACAGAGGACACGTTATAAACGAAGTTTCTAGATAGATGTAAACATCAAAATAACATGTTGCAATCATGTGAAGGTCTTACATACGGAGTGTGCATTGCATCTACATTAGCCCAGAAACGGTATTGGAAAAATATATTTCCGGCTGATCTCGTTTGTGTAAGTTCGTCTTGTAAACGCTTCATAGTTCGAGAGAAAACTAAGCTACTTAACAAGTTAATAACAAAGCACAATTTACAATTCAAATTATTTGACTTGCTGGCGTTGTTTTTCCGTCATTTAAAAAGGTCACACTATTCCGTACTCTAATTCTTTACTGCATTTTGATTTCCTACTGTTATACTAAATAGAAGATAAAGATTCCCGTGGCTTTTTAAAGGGTCAAGTCGCCTTTGCCCCTCCCCTAAACACACATAATATATACACTAAGTTATCACTATTGAACTTTTGATGTGTAGCCACCGCGTAAATAAAATAATTACTTAGAATATATTTACGCTCGACTGACATGTTGCAAATTCATATGAAATTATTAATAAATCACTTACCTGGCTCCAATCAAGAGAGACTCATCATCGTAATCTAACAAACGAAAGTGATCAGCGCTTTGTTCGCTGCGAAAACTCACCGCACGGTCAGGAGCTGAAGATTCGTACGTAAAAGCGGGAGGGTAACCGCGTTAAATGTACCGTTAACAATGATAGCATTGATATAATTAATTCGGTTACAGTCCGTTTGTCTACTCGTAATATCAGGATCTGCAGACAACTTTGGCCAGCGTATGTTATTTGTTACGAAGATGTACACTTGTCTTTGTACGATAGTCGTCATCATTTAGAACCATATAGCAATCATTCATTAAGTGTTTATGTTAAACTACGTATTACATCTTGTATAATTAACCATCTAATTCATACATATATATACGCTTATTTTTTCATGTTTCTTGAGTAGGTAAAAATACCCATCAGGCCATTTTCAGCCTACATATATCCTAACTTTTTTTCAAGTGTTCGTCTACCGAATAGTCAACAGACAGTTTAGTTGAGATCCTTAGTGGTTAGCATGAGGCCTGGCCTAACAATTACCTGACCGACTACAAGTCACAGGCCATACCAAGCTTACAGATTGTTGTTTAGTGTCATACTATGCCAAGAGGAAAAAAAGGTAAAGTAAACGACTTTAGGAAAAGTGCGACGCGCTCCTAATGGTAGAGCTGTCGAAGCAGCGAAAGGACTCAGGCGCGATCTAACCGGATCTAGCTTTCCCTTGACAAATCAACAGCCTGACTAGGATAGGATAGCGACAGAAACTAAGAGAAAACAGGCCCTGACGTCCCAATCGGAACATGCCAACGCAGAAAGAGTGTAGAATACAAGGTTGGCCTCTCGAGACCGATCCTGCTTCGCCTGCAGCTATATGAGTCGGAGGTAATGGGCCTGAAGAAAGCCTCAAAGCAAAATACCTCTGATTATAGAAGGTCGCGAGGCTGATCATAAATCTATTTTTGTAGTAGGTTCGTGCAGAGGTATACTGTATACGAGTCCCATTTTCAACATTATAACGCATTCAATATGCGCATATTCATAAACGAAGGTATGATACATAGTGAATAGTATTTGGATAGAACAGGTATTTGTTAGTTTTCCTATAACTTATAGCCTTATCTAATTAATGGACATTATTATTGATATTTATTATTAAAAATCACAGCCGATTCGAGATTGGACATCGTCGCTACTACCGTAACGCGTGAGGAGTGTGACGAGATTTCAGTTTGATTCTATGCTATTTCTCGGTATATTGTCCAGCAGCGACACACGGCCGGCTCGAACCCAGATATCGCAAAGCACTACACCCATATAATTCTAGCGAAAAAACTAGCGAACTATTTTTTTATCACTGTTAAAAAATCTATATACCTCGAATTTTGACACGTATAAGATAAATTATTTTATTCTATTTTGTATTCAGCAAAGCACTGGGGGGTGAGTCTTTCTGAGGCTAAAAAGCGTATGCATAACAATCACATGCCGAGTGAGTTTGCATTATTACGGATCAGAAATGGTAAGTGAAGACTGACATTTGGTGTGCGCCAGACTGACTAATGATACGAGATCCAGTCGGGGCAACGTGAAGGATTTTCGCCTACGATGAATTTCATTGATACGCACACGCGTGTTTCACGTCTACCACTACACAAGCCATAGTGTGAAATCAGCTTGTAGAAGAAAGGTATATACACTAAGGCACCACATTTATATCTACTAGTACGTTGGCTAATAACTCAGCCTTAGATTTTTTTTATACACTGAGAAGATAATCATTTGCGAGTGTATCTTTTATTAAGGGTGTGTACCTCACAGAAGACTAAAGAAACGGTACACTTTATAACGGTAGACTTTTTGACGATTGTTTGATGGCAATATTATTACTTCTTTGAAATTTTTTTAGGCTCGGTGCATACTGTTCTACGATAGGGTCGCGTTACGTCTAAGGTAAGTCCCATATAGGTCACCATGTTAAACGCCATCACGTAGTGTCATACCTTCATCCGTTCATCGCGTACTGCACAACACTTGGCCGTTGTACACAAAGCAAATCCAGAGGCTGATTCATTCTGTTTACTTAAGTACAGTGGAAGACTTAGCCATAATGTTCCTCAACACTCTCTCTTTCACTGCCAGTATCCCCTTCTCTTCGCATAAAACGTGAACTACTAGTTAAAGTTAGGCAGAAGACTCGCTAAGGAAAATCAATAAAACGCAAAAAAAGAGACCTGTGCAGCAAGAGTATCAAACCCAAGCATAAGGCAATGGGACTACTGCCTTGATAGAGTGGGTCGTCCAGTGCTCGCCAAGACTTCCTAGCCTACGCTTTAGCGGCCCGTCATGTTGAGTCCGTAGCTGCTTTCACTCTGTCTTTGGCAAGCTGCATCAACGCTCACGATGCTATCATTAGACGATATTGACATTGTAATCGACTTAACGCAAAGATTAACGCAGAACCGAAAGAATGGACAGCGGCAAAAATTATAAGAAATAGAACAGGTAACCATTTGAACGAACGACCAATAATCCCGATGGTTTACGCAGGACGAGTTCCGAATTGTTACTATTGGTGTTATAGAGCAACTGTGATAAAAAGAACCTATGCGTTTCGATGGCGACTTTAGCCAACAGCACACTGAATCCATCGCGCACACAAGCCTCCCTCACCGTAGCTCCCGTTCCAGCCACAACTGCAATTGATCTGCTAAAGCTTGCTCGGTTTCTTAGTGAGTCGCATATGAAAGAAATGAAATACAATTCCTGCTATCTGAAGCGCTTACTGGCCATCTTGTTGTTACTCTGAAACTTGTCCTATGATCGTGCAGTTTGGCGATACGATGTGCAAGCGAGTCAAGCTTGATCGGCGCCCGAGTGCATCTAGCAAATTTTTTTTTGGATAATCCCGTCTCCACAAGATATCGACTGACGATGCTGGCGCTTCTACAGTCGCCTCCAGTGCTACACCAGCCAGTCAGGTTTCTAGCCGCCTGGTGCCTCGATCATCTTGGCTGTTACCAGTCGGAGTATTCATTCAACACCAACTCATCCCTGGCGGTGCAGGGCAGCAGCGTCGACGTGGCTCTGATGCTTCCGAACGGCTGAAACTGTCCTCCAAACTGCTGTTGCGACCGCTACCGGTCTGCCTGCGTATGCTAATACACGCGCACAAGACGACAGTGCGTTCTCCGCCCCTGCGGACTTTCAATTCAGAAGAGAGCAAGCACGGAGAACAGACTGAAGCAGAACAGAGCCCGGGGGAATGGCAAGGAGCACGAAGATCAAAGTTACAATGTGAAATTGATTGCAATCTTTTTTCGCTGCAAGAGTAGTCCCAGCAGTAGCCACGGAAGCATTGCCGGAACCGCGTACGAGGAGGCTTAAAAGAAACGAATCATCAAAGAGCGTCTAAGTGGTGACTTTAGCCCCGCGACTCAGTCGCGCTCTTCTGTGCATGAAGTATCGCACACGAGTTGGCTGGCAGAAGTGAAACGACGTTCGCGCGATGCATTGGGTATAGTGCAGCGTGACGCGGACAGTCAAGGAAAATCTAAACGCGGTCGTGGTAGGCGCATTGGTGATAGCGGTAGAGAAGCGGTGGAAGGGGTAGAAACGATAGAGCAGGAGAATGGCGACAAAGCAGCTGTGGCCAGTCGAACCGGAGTGGAACGAATTAGAGAAAGGGTGATACTATCTCAGTAGAAAAGCATCGTGTTCTAATAGACACGGCCAAAGTGAGCAGAAAGTCGTTGGGCACTAGGGCTCTTGCTCATACGTCAAGCTCAGACGTCTGCCCAATTGGCCGTCCACATAATTGGGCCAGAAGGGCATCGTATTGTATGAAACACATTGACAAAGCAGACATTCGTATGTCTAAGGTGTAAACCTGTGATTCTTCGTATTTATGGATAATATAACGCTATGCGACGCGTATGAAAGCTTAGTTTTTCGCTTCCTGTTGGCGACCAGCGGTCAGGCGCTCAGAGTTTACAGAATATGACAGGGAAGGCTGCGTGAGTGTGACTCTTCGTTTTCTGAATTGTTCGTGCCGCATTTTGTCCCCTGCTATGGGTAGTAGAAGGGACGGGTGGAAAATGCAGGAAATACAGGGACATGTCTGCAATTGAAGAGGAGAGAATAAACGGTTGAATTCAACCCCCGAGAGTTAAGAAACAGGGAGACACGGGATCCTCGGGTACATCGGGGAGGAGTAACAGAAAACACTGCTGTGTTTTCCGTTACTGCGCCCCTATGATGTATGCCCCGAGATTTCAATACGAAACGTCATTCAAACTTTGCCGCCACACAAAAAGAAAAGACGGATGTAGATATCGATGGAGTGGGAGAGATCGCATAAAACTATAAGGAGCAGCAGCCTGTTGGTTATATTGTTAGATCTGTGAGCAAAGAAAGCCTTTAAATTGAAGAGAAGCAAATGCATTACGAAACAACGGAACCCTTATGAAACCTGAAAAAGTTAAACCCAAAAAAATAATACTATAGACATAGGACATAATAGGTCAGAGGAATAGTAGACCAATTATGTGTACCATGTAGACAACCACCATTTCTATTATATCGCAGGAAAAGGACACGAAAGATAAACCAATATCAAACCATATACTTGTTCTCAGATAACGTTTCTGAAATTTACAAATCACATGACATTTTCTCAGACAACAATAAGCCACCAAACAAACTGACCGCGAAACATAGCTTCATCTCAACACAAATGAACCGTAGAACCGCACAATTTTCTGAATATACGGAAACGCTTGTTGCTTCCACATACCTTGCGTTCTGCCTAACATAGAGTACGTAGCATCGACGTTCCCAATTTGTCTAACGTGCTCGCTCAGTGTATTATATTGCCGCCCTCAGCTAGGAAACATGCATGATGTGGCGCTGTCGCCCGCCGGATGTGTACTTTGTAATCATTTATATTATAGGAATTGGCAAATATAACACTGGAAGCAATTGACAAGATAAGCTCGACACATCTGTCTGTTGCATAGCGCTAACGTATGGGTAGAACCAGGACACTTTTAGGGTGTGCTGCGGCAGGGTACGAACTCAAGTTGATTTTGATGTTGC